GTCCTGACTCTCTTGGGAATATGTTTGAGTTAGCATTCCTTGCACCTCCCTCTGTACCCAACTCACAATGACCAGGAGTGATGGAATTTTCCTTCAGGGAGTTTGGAGTCTGTTCCCTGGATGCCATCCCCTCTGCTATCACCTTGACCCTTCCCTGCCCCTGAATCACACTGGGGTTTGGTATATAGCAGTGCCTGCTGTCTGGCTCCCCTACTTTCTATTTGCCTATACCTCTGAAAACAGTCGGCACCTGCGTTACATTCTTCTCCTGGAAAAAAAAACAAAAAAAAAAACCTTCAATTATATACTAATTTCTACCATGTAAGCTCTGTACACTTCCAAATGGGTTCTTTTGGCTCCCAATAATTTTATAACTACCCTACATCCAAGCTTACTTTCCCTACTCTTGTGTTCCCATTAATATAGATTTTACTTAGAGTAACTAAGCTCCTCACAACCATGCCTCCTTTATGAAAACACTTTGCTCATTCTCTCACCAGCCTTGGTGAATTTATTCTTGCTGTTTCCTTCTTCAGCAAGCATGTGCACACATGCACACGCACAAAAGTTTGTCATGGTTTCTAATGACTAATTTGTGTAATATCTATAATTCCATCTGTGTACATATACTCACGTATATACACATGAATATACATCTCATATTGATTTCCAATCGCTAATAAGTCAAAACATGCGTGCACATTCATTTATGTCTACACACAGTCTTGCATTGTTTGCTAATTTTTGTTTTACATTTGTTCATGCTCCCTCCCAAACAGCATTTAAACTTCTGTAGAAAGTAGACCTTTTGTGCTTGGTAGGCACTTACTTTCTGCTAAGCAAACATCTAGAAAACCTTCAGTGAACAAGACAGGCAGAATCCCTGCTCTCCAAATTCTCATGGTCTGTTGAATTGCCAAGATTTGTTATTTTCACTTTTTTGATAGGTACATAATATGTGCTCATTCTTTAAAAATTTAGAATAAAATGGAAAGCCAAAAGAAAACATATATATCATCTATGTTCCCACCAGAATGATCAAGTCTTCCTGAAAGCTCTCACTACTCATTTCCTGGGTGCCATGAAGAAGGCCACCTTATCCCCAGGTATCACGTGACCACCCCATACTTTCCTCCTACAAAAAGTCACCCCCTCAGACCTTCAGGAGTTCTCATAATTACCAAGCACAATGCCGGACACGGCTTGTGAGTCCTCTCCCTGTTAGCAAAGGCAGGACTCAGATGATGTCATGAGTAAAGACCTAGGGACAATGACATTCTCACTCACTACTCTCCTAAGGAACCCCAAGTTGCTGCACTCTGCAGTACCAGGTGAATGAATGGCTATTCACTTATATCATGGAGGCATTCAAGCAGGTATTAGAAAATAAACCTGGGTCAAGGGCCCACAATGATGCAGAGAGGCCCATGTGCTATTGAAATGAACCCCATACCACCCATCTTTATACACTACCAGGCTGTAAAAGCAAGCCTTTATTCTCCTTCTTCATACAATGAACAAAGGCAAAAGGGAAGGAAGTTATGTTGCAATATTCTGAAACATAAATCTTGCTACCAGCCAGGGACAGTATCCTGTTTTCCTTACACATGGATCTGATTCACTGGAGGCTGGGCCTATAGGACTTGTGTTCTGTTTTTCAATGGAGTTTCTGCATTATACCTGGTGGCCTGCGTTTACACATCTGGACATGGGTTGTGCAAGCATTTGTGTGTCCAGTTAACCAACCACTGTGTACAGATGTTCATTGGCACAGTTTACACCCACTCAGAAGTCTTCTTTCCCAAGTTGGGACATGCAGCTTCTTTCTTTTTCTTTATTATTATTTGTTTTATGTTTAAGAAGTTAAATAAAATTAAATTTCAACTCTAATAAAAGAGGAAGAGATTTTCATGTTTTCTCCTTGCTGTAGCAGCCTGCTACACCATTCCATCACCCTCAATCTCACTTTCTGCTTTGATTAGAATTTAGTAATCCCAGAGACAGTTTCCAGGGGTGTCATCAGAGTGCTACTTGAGTCAGGGAAATGGTTGAACTGCTCAATGCTTTTTTAATTCTGGGAACCAGAGGTAGATAATGCTTATTAGTGGCAGATGAGCAAAGGCAGAGCTGTGGCCCTGTGGCTTGCTGGTAGAAGCCTTCTTAGGTGAGAACACAGGGCTTTGAGAGGAGGGAGGAGCTGTGTACCAGGGAAAAGTCCACTAGAAAGGGTGGCCCTGGGAAAGGAGTTCTCTGAAGCGCTGCTTTGGAAGAGACGCAAAGCTGTGGCCATTCAAAGGTTATCTTGCACGTGAACTTTTTTTTTTTTTTTTTTGCCAGGGAAGACCAATTTTAGAATTTCACATCAGCTGAAAACACACTTTCTTTTCCTATTACAGAAGAGATGTCTGCGCTTAACACTGGAGGGCAAAGAGTAGAGGTGTCATCACTCTATGCAAATGCTCATGACGCTGCTGCGTGTTGCCACAGAGGACCTTAACCTTTGCCTGGACAGAGAAGAACAGGCCCTGTGACATCAGAGAGGCTGCAATGGGAATTATCTAAACAGTCACTTTTTTTTTCTGTCACTAAGAGCATACCTGACATGTTAGTACTGAGGCCCTGAACAGCTCGATAATTTTATGTGGCTTCTTATTCTTGATATCCACCACCTCGCTGTGTTTGGTCTCAGCCATCGGACCAATTTATCTTTTACACTTCAAACAGGGGATGAATTGGTCAGATCACTGAGACTTTCAAAAACAATTAAACAAACAAACAGGGTTTCTCAGCCCCAGCACGACTATCATTTAAGATCAGAGCTCTGTGCTGTCGTGAGATTTCCTGTGCATTGTAAGATATTTAGTGCCAGCTCTCAATGCCAGTTGTGCCCACTAAATACCAGTAGGACCACCTTTTCCCAGTCCTCACAATCAAACACACCCCCCAGAAGCTGCCAAATATCTGAGGGGGGGGGGTGTTGCTTTTGTTGAGAATTATTGGCTTAAAATGATCTCATGTGAGATTAAATTAAGTAATCCTTGTGTTTGGGGCACTAAAAACAATTCTATCCGTTGTTGAAAGTTATATAGGGAAAGAAAGGAGAGTCCCTGTGTAGATCAAACATCTATAGGTAGATAAATGACAGGAAGCATCCTGAAGAAATAAACAGGGAGACCCCATGTAGGCACCCCACAGCAAATATGGGAACCTAAGGCAGGAAGAAAGTGGTCCTTTTTGAAAGTAGGGAGGCACTGAGGACCACGCCTCTATCCCCCATCATTATCTCCAGAAACCGTGGCCTTCACCCAATATGGGACAGTGGATTGATTATTAGATAAGAGGTCTATAGATGGACATTTTTTAAAGCACTGTTTATTTAATGCAGCATGACTTAGAATGGGCCTGTAACCTGACAAGTGTACTGAATGAGGAATGTTCAATTTACCAGTTCTAACCGGCCAAGTCCTCACATGAACTTTCTAAGACCCAGCTGAAAAGCCTGGGAAAGTATAGAAACCACAAACCTTCAGCTGTTCCTCCCCCTCGCTGCCCTACCTGAAGCATTCCTGTGAGACCCACTTAATGCTCCAGAACTGTTACAAGATCTTCACCCTGGGCAGAGCCCCCATGGCTGACAGACTGCCCCGGCCTCCACATCAACCAACACCGAAGGGAAAGATTCTGTCCTATTTTTTAAATGTATTGAGCAAAGAAGCAGCTTCATACATGTTTCTAAAGGATGGCGATCACCCGAATTCACTGTTTCCCTATTTTAATCAATGATATAGACTTTGAAGTCAGATAAATTTAGAATTTAAGTGCCATATTTATTTGTCAACTCTGTGACTCTGGGAAAATTGTTTAACCTCTCTGAGCCTCCATGTCTGCATACGTAAAATGGGAACAATACTAATAGTACCTAAACAACAGGTGGTTTTGAGGAATGTGTAAGATGACAGGAAAGTGTTCCAACACATTGGCCACTGTTGTCATTACTATTATGGTTGTCAACATTACTATATTCATCCTTCACTCATTATACAAAAAAAACCATTTATTCAGCAACTTCCATGAGCTTCTAATTGTTAGAAAAACTCAATTAAAATTATAATATTGACTTTCTTAAAGACTCGGAATTTTAATCAAATAACATTGAAAACAACCAATAAAGGTCTTCACTGGTGGGTTATGGAGGCTTTGAATAGAGTCAGCACATAGTAGGTTCTCAAAAAAATATTAGCTCATGATGATAGCATTGGTAGTTCTGATATTGAAAATTAGGTGATTTTGCAATCTTGATTCAATTTACTTGTAAGTCCCTACAAGAAATGATTTATTTTCAAGCAAATGAATGCTGATCTTGCAAGAAAGCACATCTATTCTCTAAACAACATGTTCATCAGGGAAGGGTAACATTCTTTATTATAGCATATAATAAGCATCCAGAGTCTGGGAGGTAATTCTCACTATTGAAAGGAAAATGAATTTTGACTAATTTGTAAATATAGATTAGATCTGTTGAGTTTATAAATTTCCACCTACAAAGAAATTAGTGGTATGTACCAAAAATATAAGAGTAATAGTCAACACTGCTCACCTATTTGATAAAAAAGGTAGATTTCTAAACCCTCAGTTTAAAATTTTTCTTCTTATAATATTAATTTATATTAGTCACCATTTACGGCTAAGACTCTCTCCATGGGAAATTGGAATATAAACAGGTTTAGACTTTTGTTCTTGTCATCAATTCTTTCACAACCCCGTGTATTTCAACACAATTTAATGCAGTCTGTTGTCAGCTCTCAGCCCCTTAATTATCAAAAGAAAAAAAAAAAACTGTTTGTTTTCCAAAATATTGTTTCACCATCAAAAAGAAAGTATGACAAAAACTCTTTTGATAACCATACGGTAAGAACCCAAGATGTTTTCAGGCCTATCCCATGTCAGACTGGCCCAAGCCAAGGTCAAGGAGAAATGAACTTTCCAAAGGAGGTCCTTACCTCAAATATGTTTGCAGGCTCATTGCTGTACTGGTTGGATATAATTTCTGATTGGTCACTGCACCACTTGAGTCCACCCAGAAAGCTGTCTGTGTCCAAGTCGTTCACATCTAGTTCAGAAAGATCAAGCTCAGGAAGATCTGGGCAAAGAGGCTGGTCTTCACCAACCAGAGCAGCACACTGCAGGAGGCAAAAAAGAAAAAAAAAAAAAAAAGCTTTCATTAACTGCAGGAATGTATTAAACCACAATAGCATGTGATAGGAATTAAGCCTGGTTAATTCAACGACACCACCAAAGCTGGCCTCTGAGGCTTTAATCACCAGGGAAAACACCCTAAATTCTTTTCCCACTTGGCTCCCAAAGGATACTTTGCTTGATTTATTCCATGCAAAATTCCATCTCTAAATCCAAGATAAGTACTTCATGAAGTCCTCTCTGAGTCTTCCAGTTAGAAAGCCACGGCATGTTTGTACCGCTTGGAGAGTTAGCCCTTACCACAACAGACTGTCTTGTGCTTAACTCTATGTAAAATCTTACTCTACCCTGAGAGTGTAATCTCTTAGAGAAGAACACAAGCTTGATTTCACCTTGGAATTATCATGCTTTACTGGACTTTCCCTAAACAACTGGCACGTGAAAAACAGAAGACAGGAACTACATGAGGAGAGCTTTCTCCACTTAGACTCTTTTTAAACATTGTCATCCTTATCCTTCATTCAGCAACTAATGATGCCAGGCCTTTGACTCATCTGTGGTCCTCTTGAATTATTTCTTAAATCATTTACTCTCACTGACTTTTTATGAGTTACTGGACTTCATCCTTAACAGGTCAAAGCAGGTTCCTTGAGATGAAGAACAAAAATCATATTTTTTTCTATGCGGCCTTTATATCTCACTCTGAGTTACTTATAAGACATGGGGTGTGTGTGTGTGTGTGTGTGTGTGTGTGTGTGTATTTGGGATCACCTGGCACCTGGAGAAGAGGAGTCACAATAACAACACACCACAATTATATTTTGTTCATCATTCAGGTGTATCTCAACTATGTTTCAAATAAATTCAAAATAGCTATTTTCGTTCGGAGTTATAAAATTATTTCAATATATTGAAAGGTTTAAAATATCCTCTACTGCAGCTGGACTGCTTGTCCCCAAGGCCATTTTAGATTGCCATATTCTTTTTCTCCCTTGCGTGTAACAGATATCACTTTACGGCCCCACCCTGGTGCTTTCCAAGGAAAGTGGACCCCATTACCAATGAAGTGGTCTCCTAGAACTGAATCAGCTAACTGATGGCTGATTCCAGGCTGCATACCATAAAGAACCCTGCAGAAACTCCTACGGCCAGGGTCTGGGGATGCCAGAGTCATAAGGACATTGTCTACCTGTGGGCCAAGCTGTCTGAATCCAGGCCTCCCACTCAGAAGCAGGACCCTCCTGCCTCTACCTTACGAGGTCAGGAGAGATGCTGTCCAGTTGTTCACATCCACGCAGTCCTTGGGCATGAAGTTGCAGATATCCCTTGACATTTAGATTTTGAATAAGTTTTATGTAGATTTCTTTTTCCTCAAGCACCCCTGTCATCCCTGGCAGGCTGCATTACACGGATCATATGCAGCAGTGTGATGATAAGCCACACACTGAGAAGTGGGGCCTGGGTAATGGAGTGGGCAGTTAGTAAGAGAAGAATGGGAGGAGTCTGCAAATCACTGCAGTTCTTCCCTAAGGCTACCAGCCCAGTGAGGTCCCCAGCTGCAGGCAGAAGGTAAGAGAAGGAAAGGGCTGTCCTCTCTATCCAAACTCCTTCCTTATCATTTTATTGGTCTTTCCTTTTTATTATATGAGCCCAAAGTTACAGATCAGTCTACTCAACTAGGTTGAAAGCAATGGAAGCTAGACAGGAGAGAAGATCTCGTCCCAGTCCAATGTTCTTGTTTTGTTATGGGTGTTACACTCCCCGGGCACATTCTGGCCCACCCTGCTTACAGTCCAAGCACACACGCTCAGCGTCAACTCTGCTTCGACACCATCCATTCAGAGGCAAGGGGAGAACTTTGCCCACAGTGCAAAAATACTAAGCTTTCACTGGGGGATAGTCCTTTAAAATAATCAAACATAAACAGCATCAACAAATAAAAATGTTGGCTGTCTACCTCTGCCTTAAGTTCCCGTTGTGGAGCTCAGGAACCACGTTTTGGGAATACTGACGGGTCATACCAATGGACTGGTGAACAATATCTAACTGCCCTCTCCAGGCACACCCTGTACAAAACCCCAGAACTTTCCAGAAACGTGTAAGTCCCTTTTGAAAGCCATTGACTAGACCAGGTCAGTTTGTTGTGTGTTACTGTCTTGTACACATCCTTTTCTCTCTCCTCCAGTTCTCCCTCTCCTATTATGCTTTTACCTTATGGTTCCAAAAAGTGCCTGTGCTCTTGCCAATGTTGACATGCTAATAAGATCAGTGCTTCTGAATGTGGCATTATTCTGCTAATCTAAAACACATTAGTAGTAGCAAGTGTCCCTGTTATTAATTTATATTTGGCCTTTGGATGGTGGCAGACACAGTCCGAGCCCTGTAACTGTCCTCATCTGACACGCTGATATTTATGACTTCCCCATACATCTGTAACAGGTGTGCTTGACTGCACTCACACAGCCTCGTTCTAGTGCCTCCTTGCAACGATGACAGCTATGTCACAACTGTAGCCTTAATTTTATAATAAGATTTAAGAGGATAAAGCAGTCACTAAACACAAAAGGCTAATTATTGTACGTTATTTCACCCCAACAGACTTTTCTCTTAGTTAAGAAGGAGACAATAAATTAGCTTAACTGCACTGATGATAATGAATCATTATAATTAAGTATAATTCTCCATTAACCTTTTGGAGGTTTTGATGCTAAATTTTAAAGAGAGAGAGAAGAAAAAGTGGACTCAGCCACATTAATTATATTAATGAAAAAAAGAATCTTAACTTCTTTAAAAAAAATTAGTCAAGACAAGGGAAGGGGGTGGCGAGGAGGGCCATAAAGAATGACAGTCTTGGTGGAGTGTATGTCATGTGAATTGAATCTATCAATCTTGGTAACCTTACTGTACATCACCTTCATTAAACTGTGAAACACGGGGACTCCGAGCACCTCCAGTGATATGGGCCTTTATTAACCAGTGTGCTGTCCTGTCATTATGTGCAAAAGGGCATAAGACGTTTTAGGATGACAGCAAACATTAATGATTCAAAAAATGAAAGCTGCCTACGCTACCTGCTGCTCTAATATTTGAAACTGGCAGAGGTGATTCCCAGAGCGGCTGTCTCGAAGGCAGGGCTTCTAGCAGCTGCTGCCTACAGTGCAACAGCGACTGGCCAGCCACAGCGGACCTGCGACTCAATCCACGGCTGGACAAGGAGCCCAAGACCTCTCCCCCTTCAGAAAAGAAAACGTAAAAGGCCACCGTTCTGAAGGGCCTGGATACTTATTGGAAAACGACTGCAGGAATTCCGGTAGTTAACATTAACCTTCCTTATTTCCATATGAGCTAGTTCCTCAATCAAGTAGCAGCATCAGGAAATTATGCATGATGGAAAAACGAAACTACAGCAGCAGAGACCCACGGTGCCAGCCAGACAACCACCCACAGGACACTCCAGGCTACTCAAACAATTAGGACTTTGAAGCCACTTAGAACCCCGACTCTTAATCGATACAGGACATATGAATTCTCCATATCTATTCTGCCTTACCAAGAAATCACAACAAGATAAGAAGGATTACAACCCACAAAATACAATCCACCAAGGCAAGAAGCGCAGCCAGAGCCAACGTTTGCAAACCCAGCAAGGAGTTAAGAATCCAGGGCATGCCTCGCTAGATAGGAAAAATGCATTCGCAGCCGGCCTTGGCCAAATTATTTTCACTTTAGATGTGTATCGCCACACCACATGCACATCTTATTTAATCAAATCACGTGTGGCACTTGATCCTCCCCCTTACCCTACGTGCCCCCAGCTACCCGGAGGAAGCGCTTGCAGTCCTTTGCCAGTTTCATTGTTAGCAGCTCGGATCCTCCATGCAATTCAATTCGGGTCCATCTCAGCAGAGTCCTCAGAAAGTTTCGCTTGTTTCCCAAGTTGCCCAAACTTTCCGGGAACATTCCATTGTGCTGAATGCAAACACACCGAGGTCCTCCGTCCCCCAGCTAGACTCCAGAGATTACGAGGAAACCGCTTGCGTTTTTTTTTCCCCCTGTATGAATTGTAGCCAGCACAGACTGTGGAATTGATGTATTGCCGTCTATTTTTACACAAGCAGTGAGCAGCTCCACACACGGTCCTGCATAAACTCTATTCTCTCTCTGGCTTCAGGCAGCTCTCCGTGGTACAGGGAGATTTAACCATTGGCTTCCCTGCCACCGGCTCAAACAGGAAACCTTGCACTATAAGGTTTTTTTTTGTTGTTGTTGTTTTTTAATCCCTGACCAAATCTTTCAACCACACATAGGAGTTTTAAAGGAAGCAGCAGCAGCATTTTATATTTTGTGGGAAAAGCAATCTAAGACAGTCCAGCAGGAATGTTTAGGATTTTGTAAGTTCTCTGTCTGATGAACAGAGAAAGAAAAAAAAAAATCCGGAGTAGAATCAAAACGGACTATATTTGAACGCATCCATTTTAATATTTTTATCTTCATTTTCTTATAAATAGAAATGGCATTTTTCCAACCAGGCCACTAAACACCACTGGAAAGACTTCAGCTTCTGATTCATATCAATATCTTAGAGCATAAATATTGCATATGAGTAGAAACAGAGCCAAAGGCACATGGAAAGAGTTTCTAACTGCAACAGATACTGATGACAGCAGCTGAGCTTTGATTTGCTCAAGGCATCTCAGAGCCACCTTAAAATAGCAAACTTATTGGAGTTAAGATAAGATTGAGATTCCCTTCCAAAAGCTCCCGCCCCGCTCCGGCTACTTTTCTGCCTCCTCTCCTCGCCCAAGCCCATCCCCCCTTACAGGGATAATTGCATCTGAGGGAAGCTGCCATCCTGGCTGCAATGCCTGCGGAGCCCAGCCCCAGCTCACCTCGATGTCACTCCATACAGAGTCCTGGCTGCACATGTCCCACGCCATCCAGCTCCTGAATGACGCCAGTCAAGCTTTTTCAACTCCAATCCACAGTGACACCGAGCACACACTCATGCAGGCAACCAGCCCCTTACTGAGAGTGAACTGAAGGCACCTGTCTTACTACAGTCCCCAGTCACATGACAAAGCTATTAAAAAGTAGGCTGGGCTGTCACTCACCCAGCCTCCCTTCTCCTGTGCAGCTTGCTGCTCAAACTCCTGACGTCACTCAAAGGCAGCCCTCTGCCTCAGTGAAGTAACGCTTTAAAAAAAAAAAAAAAGAAAAAGAAGAAAGAAAGAAAGAAAAGAAACACTTGGACTTTTGGAGGTTTCAAGCATCATGCTGTGATTAAAGCCAGCTTTGAATGCCACAGACTCTAAACGGAGCCCTGGCCATATAATAACTAAAATCCCCTACAATCTTTTTTTAATTTATTTTTCCTCCAAAATGAGCAAGGGGCAAAGCTCCCTGTTTCACGACAGAACAACTATATTCTTAACTAGCATGTGTATTCTCATAGGACCATAAGATCTCCAAGGGGACCCAAGCTCAGTTTGGGACTAAAGCAAGAGCTTATCACATGATGCATTTTTATGAGACATTTTCTAATTGGGGGAGTGTTTGAAAGCAGCAAATGAGGCATTTTTTGCTTGTTTAATCAACAAAACAGCCTGTATTTGTTAAGGTATAAACAAACTCCTCTACCCAGAAATCGGTTGTCCCCGTGTGGGTAGGGAACACCAGCTCTGGAATTGTTACTGCAGTTTGCTTTGCTCCATATAAGGAGAGCAAGCCACAAAACCTCATCCTTTCAGCTTCCTTCTCATTATTTCCATTTCTTTCATAGGCTCCCAGAAAACAAATGTTAGTAAATACAGTCGCGGCTGCTGTGCTGAACAGCTCCGGCTTTCAGCTGCCTTCTTCCATACATGTAGCCTTTCCTCCCTGACTGCCTTAGGGTGCCTTTTTGAATAAACATTGGATTCCAACCCTCGTGCCCTGGGTCGTGCAGTTTGCGTGCAAAATCAGAAATGTCCATGGAGTGAAGGGAAAATATCCACATGCCATTAGCAGAAATATTCACTTCTTGAGCTTCACTGTTTTATTATTTCTCAGCTCGTACCTTGAGACAATGAGGGCTAATGCAGGTGCTACTGTTTTATGATGACACTACATATTGAATACATAACAAACCCAAGGTACTAGAGACAGCGGAAAAATACTTCCCATAACATTACAGTGGTCAGACTTAACCCTTCCAAGTTCCAGAGGGATGTACACAGGTATGTATCTTTGGGAAGACAGGTTTCATGGAACTCCAAACCCAATAGACTTTTAAAAATCAGCTTAATTCTTTTACCAGACAATAATTTGTCTGAAAATAAAGTTCCCAGGTATCTAGAAATAATTTTGAGAGCCCTATTAATTTAAATTCCTGTTCTACTGAGGTTGATTTAATGTGTTCTTTATTGTATATCTCCTTATGAAGAAAAGAAAGTGGTGGTTTTTCTCTAACACATACTTTAAATATTAAGTTGCTCAAATTGTAAAGTGAAAGAAAGAAACACAATAAAAAACAAACAAGATAAAAAGCCACCAGACTACTGTTTCTTTCATACCACTTATATTAAAGACTTCTCTCCTCTGATATCTGCAACAAGTTGCTAGTAAATTTCTGAATAATTGTGATTAAATTGACAAGTTTGTCATTACTGGACATAAAAAGATGGCCAACAGCTTTGACATTTTAAGTGAGCTGAATATATTTCCCTGGCACATTTTCCCTTATAATTAGCAGAAAGTTGCTGTAGTTTTAATTTTCCATGTTAAAAAAAATTAAAAAGGAATATACAACTTTGAGAATGTTTTCATGAAGGCAAATAATGGCATTACTTTGTGTTCCCCACCCCACCCCCCAAAAAATACTAATTTTCCTCCCAATTATATTCTTACTTAATGTAAAACTTCAGTAAATTATTAAAATTCAGGACAAAGGTCATTGGCTATACCCTCAACACAGTTAACTGTGAAATGATATTGGTCATTTGGCCAAGAGAAGTCGATGTTTATTAACTATTATCAAATGATTCCTGCATCGTGAGAGTCACTGACGATTTTCTCTGTCTCCATCCAAAGATGGGCAACCACCATGCTTTTTTAAAAAATCCCATTCACACCTTTTAGAGACGTTCCTTTACACTAGAGCATGTTGCATTATTGTTTTTGATATTTTAACCTTCACACTTTGTGTAGCTTCGGGATCCATGCTCCTCTTTTTTTGCCACCTAATTCCACTTCTTAAAACGGTCAGATCAACATAGCCACCCAGATGACAAGTGGTTTCATATATGCTGTATTTTTAGGAGTCAAAACATTGCAAGGTCTCACAAACTCCAGCATATTGCCTTCCTCCCCCCCCGCCACCTTCCATCTCTACTAGTATAAAAATCCAAATTTAAACCTATTCGTAGGACAAGTTAGAGTACCTGCTACTATTTCTTTTTTAAGTCTCAAAACTATAACTCAAAGGGATATTTTAAAGTTCTCCTAATTTGGTTAATGAACTCTTCAGATTAAAAATTATCTACTGTCCAGTTTTTGTGTTTTTTTTTTTTTTTCTTTCCTCAGGAGAACTTAAAATTGTTAGTTGCTCACCAACCTTGGTCTTTTCTGGCTCCCCAGGCAGTTTCTATATTTAATTCTCTTGACGGCTGATCTTCCCCTCTCCCTGCAGCCTCTCTTCCACCCCTTCTACAACTCTGCCTCCAAGGTTTCCAAATGTTTGATTCAGTCAACGATAATCTATGGAAGCCTTACTGTGTGCCCAGCAATCCATCGCAAGGACTGCTGAGAGGGGGTATGACTGGGACACAAGGGACCTTGAAATTTTAGGGGGATGACAGACCTGTGGAGAAAAAAAATGCCATGAAAAAGCAGTATCATTTTCTTTCAATATCCAGATTTCTTTTTCTACTCTTGAAAGCACACTCTATTTAGGTACAAGGTCCTTTCACTAACCACAACGAATCTGCTCCAAAACAACCCCATTTGCTCCCAACAATAGGAAGAGGTATTTATTAACATCTGCTGGATGCCTATAATATAGTATATCTACACAGGGCCTGGATCCCACCCCCTCATGGAATCCACCACTCAATAGTCCTGTTAATGTATTCCAAAGTCCCCACATTGGTGGAGGCGGGAGAATCTGTCTTTTGAGTTGATAGGGGGATGGTGGGGGGAGAGAGAAAGAATAATTCAATTCAATAATTCGTAAGAACAATTAAATTCTATAACAAAAATATTTGAAGACGTGTTTAAAATTTGGGTTTCTTTCCCCACTCCTGCCCCCAAATTACAAGCTTTGTCCATCATCCATATTTCAGACAACTTCCCATTTCTTTTTTATTTTGTAATTATTTTTTATTTGTAGTTGGATATACTACCTTTATTTTATTTATTTTTATGTGGTGCCGAGGATCGAACCAGGGCCTCGTACATGCTAGGCGATCACTCTATCATTAAGCCACAACTCCAGCCCAACAACTTCCCATTTCTAAAAAATAAATACAATCAAATTGGAACACTCAAACTCATTCCATAGACTAAAGCAAAAACACTTGGTGTCAACATTGTATCCAGGTGAGCACAAAAGGAAACTCCGAAGTAAATACTATTAGTATAAACATCTCTTTGATTTGTTCTTGTAGACTTACAATGAGAGGAATAAATTTAAGGTGGAACATTTCAAGGAAGAAAGGGAAAGAGGAACACATATAGCCAAACTTGCACAGGCTAGTACTGAGATCGTCACTTCAAATTCTACATGTCCATCAAGGTAGTCCTAAAACTTCCCAGGAAAGATCATCTGTGCATCCATTTTACAACTAAGAAAAATCAGGCAGGTAAGAGTGAAAAGCAGTTGAACACAGTGATCAGAATCCTCCCCAAATCTAAGGCACATCAAGGACCTCTGAGATCACTTTGTATCTAAGGAAGTGTCTGGAAAGAGGTATTCCTGAGAATTCTGCATGCCTGGAACAATTCTCCCAGAAATAAAAGAGACCTGCCCAGAATTGCTAATATTTTTAAAGTTAATTATTGCTTATGGCTATTCAATTGCTGGCTCTTAGTTCCTAGAGGGAACCATTGATCCTTGTATCCCAAGTCCATTTCTGAACATGTATTTTGGGTCTCTGGTTTGAAGCTGAGATTTTGCTGGGCACAAAATGTGGATGCAGAGTAGGGAATACCAAAGATCTTTATTCTTATAAATACTCTCAAATTAAATCTTATTTTACACAAACTGCCATGGTGATGTCAATGTGAGCAAAGAACCTTTTGGAAAACCATTTCAGGAAGGTTGGTGGACAACATTAATGCCTCCTAGCACTTTTTTTTTTTTTAATAAACAAGAGGTGATAGACAACCACAACAATACAGCTCTCATCTCCAATAAAACCTTCTTCAGAACAGACCTATGTGCTTTTGGCATTTTTCATATTACAACAAAAACAATGTGAAAATTAATCTGAGTTGTAGTCAGTGGACTAATATGAACATAAAGCAAAACGAGAACACAGATAAGTAAAGGGGTAATAAAAGAATGGTTAAAATCTGATATTATCATGTGCAACTCAGTCATAGTTGTGAATGTACAGACATTTTTATCTACCTTAATTATTTTGGATTAATTCACCTATAATCGAGTTCCTGATTATTGAGGCAAGAAATGTTCAATAAGGTTATTTACCAATGT